TTACTTTCGTTACAAGCTTCATAATGTTTAGTTTTGGGCACGAGCTGATAGCTGAAGTTTTTCTGATTCTAAACATGTGCTTGACAGTGGAAAAACAAAGCAAATGAACGCGAACACTGGCATTTCAGAGCAATGATAGTCGGTAGTTTCTGTTTTCTAAACACTTTTTCTCCACATCGCTTCAGGTTTTAGCAACCATTCATATACGATTAGCTGGCCCCCTTATGGAAGTATACTTGTCAACAACCGAAATATTAAAATCTTTACTTTCGATTTTTCACCTAATGTCCGCCTGGATGCCCATTGTGCAATAGTCACCAGGTGACAGCCCCGGGACTGGTAAAAAATCCGGCACAACGTCAAGGCTATAGAAAATCCAGGTCTCGCTTGACTCGTATTTACGAGAGCACATCCTGGACTACCAGTTCATGAAAAAATCAACATAATCCTGTTGGAAAATGTTTATACACAACCTGGTTTTTCAAAGATCTTCTAAAAAGTCTGTTTCAAAAAACTCTTCTGGAAATAATTCTGCTTATGGAAGCATACCTCCAAGTCTTCTCTTCTGCATCGGGACAACCGAAGCTCTCTAGCTGCTCTCTATCAAAAGTTATTCAAAAATATCCACTCTTGTATTTTGAAACGGATAGTGGTTTTACATATTTAACAAATGCAAAGAATCACGTTTTACGACACAATGATCGGAAATCAAATCCTAAGTATTTTAAAATAAGAATTTTTAAATAATGATTGTTGAACTCATACTCATAGGTTTTCATGTGTTGAGCTATTATCTACACACGAAAACTAGTAATTTTTTTTTTGGATAAAATCAGAATATAATTGAAATAGTAGAATTCTTATTTTATCTGATACTTTTTCCCACTCACTCTTACTTTATCTTGGTTAACAGTATAAAGCCAAATATGTGATGAAAACTGGCAAGTTCGTATAGTTAAAAATCTTTAACATCGGCGTTTTATTAAAAAAACGAATGTGCAACAAAATATTTTGCATTGATAGCATACATATATTTAATGTTTTTATTCGTTTTGTTTTATTTCAAGAAAGGCACCTCGATCAAGACTTACACATATAACAATATTGATTTGTTTGGGTCTTATTTTAATAATATTTAAAATGAGTGAATTGCATATCACTTTTTTCCGAATAATGGAACAATCGAATGTTAGTCACTTATCAGTATTTTGTGAAAAAACGATGACACAAACGAGGTATAACCATCTCATAAATATAAAAAATCTAAATTCAATCGTTTGTCCTGTACCTAAAGTAGCATCATCAAATATTCGACGCATTATAATATTAACATCAGATAAACGGTATTTAAATCGAACGAAAAAACAAAACAACATTTTAATTCAACAAATAAATAATAGTTACCTATATACGACAAAAATTCCGTTTTTTCAATCTATTACACTGGAAAAAATGAAACCCAAGCACCAGTGGAACTTGTTAAATGGTACATCAAAATTTAAATTTACTATTGTTCGACATCCATTTCGACGTATAATATCCACCTATTATGATAAGTTTATTTATCCTGAACCGTTTGAACATACAGTGTGGACACCTATCAAACAAAATATGTTGAAAACATTAAAACATAAAATATTCACGCTTAACACATTTTTGTTATATATTGTTTATTCCATTCAACGTAATTTAAAACTCAACGCTCATTGGGAACGAGTTGTAACAGTCTGTGGTTTCTGTAAAATCAAATTTGATTGGATCGGAAAATATGAGAATTTTGATGAAGATGTCAAAATATTATTAAAACATTTGAAGATAGATAGCAAAATAAGTTTTCCGTCGCATAAACTGGATCTAAATCACACAAAGTTAGAATTAGACGATAAAACAATGTACGATATGATTAAATCGATTGGTAAAAAGGAATACAATGTACTATTAGATTATTACAGGCCAGATTGTGAGGCATTCAATTATACAATAGAAGATTTTGAAACTAAAACTTAAAACACTTTAGGTCCCCCACCTCCCCGTCAGAAATCTATCTCTAAGACCATAAGTCCGAGCTTGACCAAACATTCAGGAGATATTGACCTTGTGAAAGTGTGCTGAGGAAATTGTCTGTTTGACTCCGTCAAGCATGGTTTGTGAGATGTCGCCACAACAGTGAACAAAGCGGGGCTATTCGTAGCTGTAAGATTTCTCAGTAACGAAACGTTGTGGAGAGCTCGGACTGGTCCTAACTTCACGAAAATGCATGTGGCTAGAGGCCAATAGAGCCGAATTTTGTGCTATTTTACTTATCAAATTAATGGTCAGCGTCAAAAGTCCAAAATTCGAAAAGTCGAAATCTGACAGCCACAAAATGGTGTTAAGGCGAAAGTCCCTTTCGAGATATGGCGACGGCAATATCTGATGCGTGTTTTAGGGCTTCTGATAAAACTTTCATAACTTCTGATCAGAATATTATCCAGAGCTTGGATATATCTCATTCTGATCAGAAATGTTTCCTCTATTTCCTGATTTTATTGAAAATATTCTTGGATTTATTTTCTTCTCGAAAAGAAAAGTTTGTTCGAAAAGTCAGCTTTTGTTGGTTTTCGGAACACTTTTTTAAAAACTTCCATACCCCTTCAATGAGCACCAAATAACATGGGATCCTGATAGTCGATACTCTTGGCTGTCCGATGATGTGTTTAGCTCAATATCGACTTATAAAGAAATTATATATTTTTAACGGGGAGAGAGGGAGGGCTTAAGTATTTGATTCCACGTTAGCTGTTGGGAAGAGAGATGAAAAAACTGTTTATTTTTTTGATATCTCATTGCGTATTAACCCCCCGCCATAACAGAAGACCATCCCCGAAAGTTCGTTCTGGCGCCATTCAACGCAGCTCACCAAACCCTACTTACGATATAAAAATGAAGATTTTTGGTTCAAGACTCGAGCTTCCAGAAAGATTTTTTGATCGAGTAACGCTGTGACAGAAAACGTCCCTATTTGCTGAACACTAGTTCTGATTTTCTGCGAATTCAGGTATGCATCTGAAAACTTTATAGAGACGGATTTGAAGTGAAGCCAACGGGCTTTCTTTTAGTAAAAAAGACGTTTCTTCAAACTCTTCCGCACGCCTAGAAAAATAGATTATGTAAAGTAATGCTGTGACACAAGTTTTCTCACAGAGTTTTAAGACACGTGAGGTCTACAAAGAACTCTATTTTTATGCTCACCTATGTCCTAGGCATGG